AGGGAGTCGTGGGACTGCAGTGAATTGACCGGGTAGCTCTCTCACAGGCTCTGTGTTGCCATAGCCCCCTCCCCCGCCCAAGGTGAACTGAATTTTTATACGAAATTTGTCTATTTTCATACTTAATTTTGAAAAACTGAGAATCAAAGGAAACTTAATATGTGATCTCTATCACTTTATCAGTTTGAAACTGGATATAAATGGGGTAGGCTTAGGCTTGGTGTATGGAATAGGGTCTTAGGTCATTACTCTAAGCGTTGGACTGGTCTGTTGTGGGGCCCTGGGAAGGGGCGAGTGGGGACTGTGTGTGGAGGGGATTGTTTATGTTCATCCCTGGGTATAGATACAGAGAAGGAGCTCAAATAGGTCCAGTAAAAAGCACATTATAGAGTAATATATGCAGTTTTTTCCTGTTTATGTACACGAAAATGTATGCATGCATAAAATTTTAAATGCATGAAAGTTTCATAATGCAAAAACAACCTTTGACGTCCACAGGTTGCTCAAGAAACTGTTAAGGGAGTGCCCCTGAGATGGATACGAAATTGAGGGCAGGAAAGGGAATTTCTTTTAGTTTATTCTGTCCCTTCTGAAACATATAGTATGTAGATTGCTTTTGAAGAGTGAAATGAAGTGAGCTGTTGGGAAGTGCGATTGCTGTGCGAAGGCGCTTGGCCTTCAGTGCTGTACTTTGAGGAAAGTGGAATCAGAGGGTTCCAGAGTAACCAGGAAGAATTTCTTGGGAGAGAAAAGACCTGGATGGTTGGCTGTCATTCACTAGGGTAAAGGACGGCAGGAGCAAAGGCACAGGGGTGGGAAAGACAGGGTGACTTGAGAACTGGTGAAGAGATGAGTTAGGCAGATGAATGAGCCAGGAGGAGCCAAAAGCATTAGGGAGGCAGTGAGGCAGCAGGAGGCTCCCGCAGTGGCTGTGAGCAAGGTATGCAGCGAGCAGGAGGTGATGGAACAAGTGCGTGATTCATCTGGCAACAAGGGTGAGGGAGTCAGAGGTAATGCCACAGGGTGGGAACCTCTCACATGTCCCCTCCTCACTCCCAGCAGCCTGTCATCGGTCCCTGCCTGCGTGTTGCCCAGTGAAAAAGAGTTAGACCTGTGTACCTGAATGAATGAACTCATGAGGCTCCCCTTTCCACCATTGGTGGGAGTTGGGGCTCTGGAAGCTTGCCAGCCTCTGCCGGTGTCTGATGTGCTTACTGCACTCTCAAGCCAGCACATCACCCCAGACATTTTGGGGGTTCTGTAGCGCCAAGGAGCTCTACTGGCATAGTGGTTACTTGTTTGGCTGCTGACAGCAAGGTCAGCAGTTCAAAATCCCTAGCTGCTCCTCGGGAGAAAGATAGGGGGCTCTCTACTTCCATAAACAGTTGCAGTCTTGGAAACTCACAGGGGCAGTTCTAGCCTGTCCTATAGGGTCGCTGTGAGTCGGCATCGACTGGATGGCTGTGCGTTTGGTTTGGTAAAGCATCAGGAAATTGACTGAGCGGTAACCTCTGAAACAAATTTGCACTCGGGAGTCAGGCTGAGCCGGGCTGTAATTCTGACCATGCCGCTTACTAGTTAATACCCTTTGGATGATTCTTGACTCCTTAGAGCAGGGGTCCTCAAACTATGGCCTGCGGACCACATGTAGCCCGCGAAGGACATCTATCTTGCCCGCCGGGCGTTTTTGCCCCGTTTTTTTTACTTCAAAATAAGACATGTGCAGTGTGCATAGGAATTTGTTCATAGTTTTTGTTTAAACTATAGTCCGGTACTCCAACGGTCTGAGGGACAGTGAACTGGCCCCTGTTTAAAAAGTTTGAGGACCCCTGCCTTAGAGGTTTGGTTTTCTTATTTGCAAATGGGGAGGGTATGACTTAACTTGCTAGGGTTGTTGCACCTAGTGTTACGGAGTCGCGCCCAACAAAAGACCACTGACCCACAAGCAGCTGCAAAGTAACAAAGCAAAAGTTTATTAGAGAAGAGCAAAGGTTTATTAGAGAAAAGGCAAAGGTTAGAGAAGAGCAAATCCGGATTTGGGCTACAGCATGGCCACGCAGGGTCCAAAACTGAAGCGTCCGGCAAAAATTTCTTTGCCCTTTTATACACTTAAAACCAGTAAGGAGTAAGGAATGGGGAAGGGTGTCTGCACAAGATAACAGGATGTGGGCAGTTTAGCACGTCCTGCCCAGCTTATCTTGGTCCAGGTGCGCTTGTAAAACTTTTGGCTGACATTTACAAGTGGCAGTTTGCAAGGTCACAGTGACTTGTTTTTCTAAAATAACATTTTTCTTTTGGGATGGGGGATGACCTTTAAACTCTTCAAAATGGGGTAACTTAAGTCAATTGTGAAGATTCCCTGGACCCTAACACCTAGCATCAAGTTGATACTCGGCCAGTAGGGTGCTTTACTTTTCTACTCTATTACAACACTTCCTCCAGTCTGTAGACACTTATCTAGCGATATATCAATATCGATACCTCTATCTCTGTCAATCTAGTCTACTGGCGTGCAATCTCCTATTTCTTAAGTTCCTGTTCGCATAAATTCCTCTTATGTTGCAGTCACTGTCCTTCGGCAGCATTCAGGTGCTAACCACATAATAGGGCCAAGCCTGTGCTCTTCACTCCGAATTCAGTTTTTATAGCAATTGACTTGTGATTGAGTAGGACGTGTCTATAGGTTAAGGCATGTCTCCTCTGAGGGTACAACAAGATTTGTTGAATCGATGGGGGGAGTGCGGAGTGGAGACCCAAAGCCCATTTGTAGGCCACTGGAGATCCCCTTGCAGAGGGGTCTCGGGGAGGAGATGAGCCAGACAGGGTGCGATGTAGCAACGATGAAACCTACAACTTTCCTCTAGTTCCTAAATACTTCCTCCACCTGCCCCCCCTATCGTGATCCGAGTTCTAGCTTGCAAGTCTGGCTAGACCAGAGGATGTACACTGGTACAGATAGACTGTAAACACAGGGAATCCAGGGCGGATGATCCCTTCAGGACCAATGGTGAGAGTGGCAATACTGGGAGGGTAGAGGGAGGGTGGTTGGAAAGGGGGAACCGATTACAAGGATCTACATGTGACCTTTTCTCTGGGGGACGGACAACAGAAAATTGGGTGAAGGGAGACGTCGGACAGGGCAGGATATGACAAAATAATAATTTATAAATTATCAAGGGCTTATGAAGGAGGGGGGAGCAGGGAGGGAGGGGGAAAAGTGAGGACCAGATGCTGGAGGCTTAAGTGGAGAGCAAATGTTTTGAGAATGACGAGGGTAATGAAGAATGTACAAATGTGCCTTACACAATTGATGTATGTATGGATTGTGATAAGAGTCATATGAGCCCCTAATAAAATGATTGAAAAAAAAAGATTTGTTGAATCAGATGCTCTTGTTCAGATGACATGTCAGGATGGCTCATGAGTCACGTGTGCTTCCATTCTTCTGTGGTAGACCTGTATTTGGTGGGGCTTGAGGTTTAGACAGTTTGGAGCCCCTCCTTAAAAATACGTAAGATGACCAAAAAAGCTTAAACATTTTGCTAGGGCCCTTCTCGGAGCCCTGAGAGGGGCTTGTGAAAAGGAGGGACCCCAAAGCCTAAACTGTGTTAGTTTTACAATAAATGTTCTCCGTGGTTGCTAGGTGCCCTGGGATGGCTCCGACTCATGACCCTCTGTGTGTAACAGAAGCCAACACTGCCCAGTCCTGCGCCATCCTCACCACAGTGTGCTTCAGTCCTTTGTTGCAGCCACTGTGTCAATCCGTTGTCCCTGGATTTAGAGATTTATAGAATATCACAGGAGTTAGGAAGGATATGGAGGTTTTAAATAGAGAAGAAATGGAGAGAGAGAGAAATGGATCCAGATTTACTAAAACTGTTCCTAAGTAGATGTGACTAAAAAGCCGTCTGTATTTTCCCCACTTCATTCAGCATGACTGTGCGCCAGGCACTGGACACATACCGTGAGAACAGAAGTCACTACTCTGTAGAGTGTGAATTCATATAGTCACCTGTATTGGGACTTGTAGACCTATACAGGCATCTGTAGAAGTCCAGCATCATTGTCAAGCCAAGGGTGTGACAGTAAAGCTGTGACTTTGGTACCTTAGTTTCTTTTTCTGCCACCACCCCCCTTTGCAGACCTCTATGGGAGTGAGGACCACAGAATGATAGGAATTCATGAAAAGGGTTTCTGCCATCCTGAGCAGGGATGATTGTTGTGGGGGGTGGGGTGGGGTGGGGTGGAGGGGTATGCTGCTGGCACTCAACCCTTGCCCTGCCCTCCCCTGCTTGAAATGTTGATCCAAACAAAAACCAAAATCACTGTCATCAAATAAATTCAGACTCAGAGAGACCCTGTAAGACAGGGTACAATTGCCCCCGGTGAGTTTCCGAGACTGTAACTTGTTACAGAAGTAGAAAGCCTCATCTTTCTCCTATGCTGGTTTCTACCTGCTGACCTTGTGGGTAGCAACCCAACTCCTAGCCACTATTCGACCCTGGGTTCCTTTTGAAATGTTGACGAAGGAGCCATTATTTTTCCTCCAAAGGTTCTGCTTGGGGGCTAATTTCAGCCAGCATATGCCAGGGCAAAACTCAGGGAGCAATTCATTCTGCTTTAGTCGGTTTCCTATGTCTCATTCTACCTGGGGTGGCTGACCCCAAAGAAGAGCAGAACTGGGTCCTGGAGGCGCCACATGCCTGCTTTTGAGCCCCAGCCTGCATGCTCCTTGCCTCCTGGGTGGTGACTCAGAGCTGGAACCGTGTTCCTGCATAGTTGCCAGGTTTTTTTTTTTTTGGTGGGGGCGGAGAGAAAGGAGGAAGGGAAATGAATGAGCAGGACCAAGAAACTGCTGGATTTGTAACACCTTAGGAGACAGCTGCTCAAGAAGTGAAATAGAGAGACTACAGTTGGGAGTCTCTTCCTCTTCACCGTAGGCGGCTGGGTGTTCCCTACAGATCTGACACACACCAGGGTTTTCTGAAACGTCCCTGCAGCTGGGGAAGACACAATCCCAGACATGGAGTTCAAGGAGACAGTGAGCGAGCCTTCAGCCTTTTCCAGCAAGATCAAGAGAGCAGGTTAGTCCTGTACTGGGTTCACGGGGATGTAGTTTGCCTGCTGTGCATTGCAATGGATGAAAGTCAATAATGACTGAGGGTTGAGGGAAAGAGTTTCAGATGGCTGGGAGGATCAGTATAATTGGGAGTAAATAGGACATAAGTATCACTAACTACAACCCCCCCCCCCCCCCCCCCCCCCCCGTGCTGTTATTATAAAAGATAATCTGTTGGCAAGTGAGATCTGGGAGGACAAATGCTCTGCCTCTGTTCTTCTGTGTTTTCAGTGACAGGTAGGGTTGTTAGATTCTAGCTTGGAGCCCCGTGGAAGGCATTAGCTTGAGATGAACTTCAGTATCGCAGAAGATGCCTAAAACATCATATAGTCCGTCCTTCCCATTTTACAGTTGGAGGACATCTTAGAGCGCATTTAACAGAACCAGAACATTTGGGTGTTTGGGGAGGTTGAAAAAGTCTCCCATGAAGTTTTTAAACGTCTGAACAAAGCAGGTCCCTGGTTCAGTGCAGCGTGCCGGGAAGGGGGTTTTGCATGGATTGTACTTTCTGAACCAAGAGGCTCAACCCTATGAGGAACTGCCATGGAAGAAACACACCTGTTGGTGTTAAATCACTCTGCCTAGCAGGTGATCCCCTTAAATAGAGGTTTAAACAGGAGGCTGGGTTTTGTGCCTTCCTGCAAAAGGAAGAATCTACGCCTTGATTCTGTGATCTATGGCAGGCTAATGAGACTGAGGTTTGCAATATGGGAAATCATGCAAAGCTGCTTTGGAGTGGAGTTTTCATAGTTAGCAAAAGAAAGAAAACAAATACAACTGAAGGTTGAGTGTCTGCCCTGAGCCAGGCACAGTATCAGTATTCTTCTAACAACCTTGCAAGCTTGGTATTATCTTCTACAGATAAACCAAGACTCAGAAAGGTCACTAACTCATTCAAGGTTGCCCTGCCAATGTGAGGCAGAGCTGGAATTTGGCCTCCAGTCTGTGCTCTGCAGGCTTCATGGAGAACGTGGCTCCCTCATTTGACAGACAGAAAATTCAGGCCCAAAGAGGCTGAGTGGCTGCTCAGAGGCATGGAGCAGTAATTCAGGCTCTGATTATCTGGCTTCTCGGCCCGCTTCCTTTAATATAAGAGCTGAAGGAGGAGAGGGTACATTTCTTTTTTTTTTTTTTTAAATTTCTTTTTTTTAAAACATTTTATTAGGGGCT